CTCTGACAAAGATATCCCCCCCCTGACCCCAAACCCGCCAGCCCAGCAGTCGCTAATCAAGAAACTGTACCATCATCACAACATGCTACACCTCAGGTTGAACAACATACTATCACCAAACCTTCCACCATTATCCAAACATATGATGAATACCACACACGCAATGGTCATCTTAACCGTACAACCACTATCCGCATGGCGGCCAAAAAAAGGCGTCACACTTACGTTTCTTCCACCACTTTCGGTTACCACCGAAGATTGGCAACTTGACCCAGAGTTATCGTCAAAGGCTATGGCACATCTGGATTACAAACCAAGAATCGATTGTTTAGTTTCACCTAATAACAGACAACTTTCACGGTTCGCTGGACCTGAGACAGGTGAATCTCGCTGATTTCAAGAGGTGAATTTTTTAAACGAGCGAGCGTATGACAACCCGGGTTGATCCCTTACACATGAGTGGATCAAAATTAACGTTTAATGTGGTACAACTATAGCTATTGTCGTTCCACTGAGACCCTATGCCAAATGATGGAATCTCTATATCTCACGTCTACAAAGCCAACCATATACCATTCGCAACACCGCAGCAACGTTTTGCCAACACGACAGTACTACAATGTACAAACCTTCTTGAGTGTATTCTTTCGGTTCTCTCCTTGGCCCTCTCCTCACTCCCGGTTCGGTACTTCAGACTGCCATCACATTCGCTAAAGCATACCCTGAGTTTGCGGAGCATTGTAATGCCTGCCTTGAAACCAATATTAGACCAAAGAACATAAAACATCAAACTTCCGATAGCGTCGACCTGCCGAACGGTTTCATATAGATATTCAAGGTCCAATGCCAGCTGCCCGTCATGGCTACAAATACGCGCTAAACATGATCTGCGATGGAACAAATTATGATCTCCATCCTAACCTAAAATACCTCAACAACATACCAGACCATGTGCTCGAACTACTACTTCAAATTCCGGCACATTGTAAATCACATACCGATATAGCAGATGGCGCGAGCGTTTTTCAGAGCGCTGAAACTAAGGCTATGCTTCGGTCATGACATATTTACCTCGGCCGTACACCACCCCATTGTCCGGAATTCAAACGGCATGATCTAAAGTCAACATGAAACCTCAAATAACATGACACGTGCCCTTCTCAATGATTCTAATCAACCCAAAGTTTGCTGGGGATACGCTAAAGCATACGCTGGCATCATAAGAAAGGAGAACCTATCAACCGGTGGCATTCTATCTTCACCGGCCGACAAATGGTTTCAAACCACTGTTCCACGCTTTCCAAATGCTCGCTACAGATACATCATAATTTGAGAAAGGAAGGAATTAACTATACCGACGCCCATAAATATGGTGATCCTTTTGGTCGCGAATTTTTTCACGGTCACTGCCCCCCAGACACCTGGCTGATACAAAGTTTCAAACCCCAGCGGAAGCTCTACTCTCGTAACGTTCTATTCTACCTTTCCGAATTTTCTGAATAGTCCTCCGATCATAAGAGATGCTCACCCAGCTTCACGCCCTGCTCATATACTATACCTATTGATTGGGCAACTGACCTGAGAAACTGTACTAAAACAGTTCATTTCATCTCACCACATCCGCCCGATGTTGCCACTTGGACTCATGCCCCAAATGCCCCCTCTCTACCACTCTCGTCCTCCACAACACAGCTTGTTCCTAAGGTCGTTCTTCCATCTTTTGTTCCCATCGCACAACATCACTCTTCGCCACTGGCCTCCGCTCCTGTCATTGCCACACGCCCAATCCCGCCGACTTCTTCCCCGCCTCCGCGTCTGCCCCCACTCGACTGTACCAAAATCATTCATGCCTCAAATCGTCTCAACCTCCCCCACGATACATAGTGGCCCCACTGACGATGTGGACAAAGTATCCTAGGCGGATATTTAGGACCGGACATGAGGACCGGACCTGAGAGAGGAATTTAGGACCGGACCAGAGGACCGGATCTGAGAGAGGAATTGAGGACTGGACCAAAGGACCGGACCTAGGAAAATATTTGAGGACCGAACCAGAGGACCGGGCTGACTAGTGGAATAGAGAATCTAATGAGATAGAAGTAATGACTCATCCGAAACCATAGAGACGGGTATTTTTACATAACCCGATGGTATAGAAAATCTCGTTCCACATAGGATCGTGATTAATAAATATAGCAGGCGCGACATTCTCAATGACACTTCTGACTGAGTTCACTTATTTCAGACTTCACACGCTTTGCTAAGCGTAACTCGGTTTTGACCACAACGATCACATCGACATGAACTCCTCGGCAACGACACCGCGCAATATTTCCCCCATGCCTCCCGCCGTACCTCTTCCTCGGCCACAACCTGCCTATGTTGAACCCCACAACATCCCGCTCTTTTCCGACACACGTCGCATCTCACTAGCTGAACGCCGAAATACTCCCTTGCTCGCTGACCGCACACATCTTCGTATCCTATCCCCGCCAACTTCATCTACCTCCGATTGCCGTCCAACTCTTTTACACTTTGAGGATATACTCCGTGAACCACACCTTATTCTTCCCCCACAAGTACAGCTCGTCGAAATCGACCCACTCCACCCCGTGCGATCCTTTATCCCGCACCAACATCAATTCCTCTTCACCCATCATCTCAACTTACCCCACTTGAAGAGACTCTTTTGGCATTCCGCTGGCGGCTACGTCAACCCTAGGTACAACCAGTTTTTCCTCGCGGGCCACAGAATTCTCCTGATCCTAGTATTCGTACGTTAGTTCCGATATTTACTTCCACGTGTCTTATTTCTGATTTATAGTTCAGATGCTGATAACCTGCACTCTTCTATCCGATCCATAACCCAATACCATGACTCTACGTCATCACTTCTGGACACTGTCAATCTCTTTGACCCTAAGCTCCCCAAGAGCATCACACAAGCTCAAGCACAGAAGAAATGACCTAATTTAAAAGCTGCAATTACAAAGGAACACGCAGCCCATGACAGAAACCAACTGACCGCTCTCGACAAGTCTTACCATCGTTACAAATGGGAACAGCTCTCTATCTCAGGTGACACTTTTGACAACTGCCGTGATGATCTCTACATGGCTGCTGCCACAACATTCAGTAAGTATAACTTGAATGACATCCTCCACTTTCGGATTCCCGACGACATCTTGAACGCTGCCCCAGTCCACACTCCCCGAGGCCGATCTGCCTCCCATGGCCGCACTCCTGGCAACATTCGCTCGCATACTTTATGCGGTGCCTGAAATCGATACATTTCTCACTAATATCCGCAATGACTAGTTTTACACCCGTGCTCGTGCTTTCCTATCCAACTCTCTTACTCGTAAACTACGACTCACTATGAAATCTAAAGTCCTAATACAAATGCCCTGGACCTTTCGTCGGCTTATTGCTCAACTCTTCTAAAAAGGTGTCTACTCCGATCAATCTACACGCCTCCTTCCACACCTTCCGCCTTGATAATGATGAAGTCGTGCGTGTATCGGCCCAGCACTGCTGGCAACTCCATGATGACGCTATTGATCAGGATTTTGTACTCCCTATGTCTTTTATCCAGGATGCTTTTATTTGTCTTCTTGTATCCTCTGGCCCTTGAAGACCGCCGATCTTACCCATGTCACTCTCGCTACGCTTTATGTTCACCTTGAAGCCTGGCATCAACCTCTGACATTCCCAAAGCTGCTGCGCTTTGTCGACAGAAGCACTCTGCATTTGCTCAGTCGATCCCTTCGCTAGACTTTCTCCGCACCTCTTCTGACACAGTTCCTCACAAAGATTGAACACGGTCGACTCCCACTCCTTTTAGCAGACAGTACCAAGGTTACTATACTTCATTGAGGTCTTCTCGCTAACCTTGGCCTAAGCTATGTGCGTATGCCCTGGGTTTTCTGAGTCTATCAGTACTCAGAACAACATGCAAGATAATGGATTTGACTTTGTTTACCCGGCTTGGACCACACTGGTTCACATTGTACTGTCACTCGGAATTGGAACAGCTAATACACTACTTTCCAAGCTCTCACACAACTCCGCAACGCTCCTGATACTGCTAAAATCTTGTTCCGTGCATTCGTCTTCTACTACTCTAGCTCTGACTGGCAGTGCTCACCACCCGGTCACAGGGCCTCCTCCTAATACTGTCTTACGACAAATGTTACCACCGTAATAATGCTCACTGTAGTCGGGCCTGAAGCTAGCGCGTAAAGAGAATGATACTCTCACTCGCCAATCCCCTCCTGGCGTTGCCACGCAGAACTACCAGCTTAGCCTTATTGATCACAGTAAACAAGGATTGTTTATTAAGCATAACCACGGTTGAACAGCGGAGGCTCAACAAGTTTTATGCTGGAATCAACCAAGGAGAGACTCTGAAGCTCGGAGAAGGCCGCATATCTAATACAGATGAAAATTGACCTCGGAACCGGATTGCCGGGAGTACGGAATCATCAAAGTGGAAATCTATAATGTGCACCGGACATCCCAATATCGGAGGAGTACAACTTAGACGTATATGGCCAAAGATTGCGATAGAAGGCACGTTCAGTTGAAGAAGTGACGACTCTGCCTTTGGATCATAAATTAAGTAAGAACCCTTCTCACCATACAAAGTTTTTTTAGCGGCTTAAGGGTCAAGAGTTCCAATGCATATAAAAGTAGGGACTTGAGCCAAATAAATCACAATTATTCACTCACAGCTTAGAACAGTTTAAGCAACTCTAATATCTGAGAACAATAAAGCCTAAGCTATGGACTGAAGCTGTGACGTTCCTTAATCACACCCCGACCATCGTTTTTTTTTTGTACGACTCTGTGACAACCGGCAACAAACGATACTCAAACTGAGTCACGGCAAGCACTATGTGACCATACAATACATCAGATATACGCTCAGTGCAGTGGTATACAGTCACACCCTCCAACCATTAAGACCATACGACAAGCACTCCGGGATTCAAATGCAGATCTATGGCGAGAGTCAACTAATCGCGAGCTAGAGAGTCTTGGCAAGGTGGCTGCGTATGATCTACTGAAACCTGAAGGCCTACCTGGTGACGCATTTACATTCTTTTAGTAAGTTGGTCTTCAATGTTAAAATGATAAATGGCGTAGTCGATAAGGATGGCGTAGTCGATAAGCGAAGCCATTTCTTAGTAGGCATCTAATCAGTAGCTAATAAATTTGACCGTTTTCTCATAGTCAGGGACAAGTCGATGGAGAGCATGTCTGGAAGATGGTTGTGTACTCCTGGTACTTGTATAATGTTAAAGGCAATCTTCAATTATGTCATGCCAGCGGCTCGCCAACTGTGGATCAGGGTTCATATCCTAAGATAAGTTATCGACTTTTAATCCCAGACGACAGTAAAGTGGGCCTTTAAACCGTCTTAGCGCGGTTGCAATAGCAAGTAATTTTTGTTCAACGGTAGGGTAGTTCCGTTGAGTTTTGTTGTAAACCTTACAAAAGAATTATATGTAGCGTGGATACTTTTCTGTAATTTGATCTAGTACGCCCCCCAACCGCTCGATGCCTCGATCTGAAGGGTCGGTTGCTACCATTGGATCAACCGTCTACTAGGTGTTGTGTGATCGGTGCATCCATTACTATACTTTTGAATAATTTAAATGCTGATCACGTTCTTAAGTCCGAAAATGAATGACACAAAGGTTTTAGACAGTAGTGGCGAAGGTAAGGTACTGAATCCAAAAGGGGGTAACAAACCCACACATATATATTACATCGTTTTCAAAACCCTAAGAAAACCCCCTTGTGTGGTCAAAATCGAGCAACGCCTGGTAAAGAGTGTTAAGTCTGAATAAGTGAACTCAGTCAGGTGCCATCGGGAATGGCGCGTCTGCTGCATTTATTAATCACGTTCTTATGTGAAATTTCCCAAATCTATGGTTTCGGATGAGTCATCACTTATGTCTTATTTAATTCTCTATTCCACTATCTAGTCCGGTTCTCTGATCAGGTCCTCAAATCCTCTTTAAGGTTCGGTCCTCTGGTACGGCGGTTTTAACTATCTGCCTATAGTACTTTGTCCACAATTGTCGTTGGTTGATTTTGTGATGGGGGCCAGATAACTGCTAACACTAGGCCAGCACTATTGCCCAGCGCGGGAGGTTCAGGGAAATCAACCCAAGAGCCAGCGTGAAGGCTGTTCATAGAAATGCACCCAGGGGCGGATCGTGCGAACTGAAATGGAAGTACTCGCAACACTTTCCAGTTTTTTAGTAAATCAGGTGCATGACTGAACCAACCACCCTAGTACTATGTTGGTTGTTCCAGGTATCCATCTTATTTACTACACTGATCATTTATCTGGCACTAAATGTTGTGATGTTCTATAGTCTCATATGTAATAATCGTCTATCTCAGAATAATTTATCTGTAAAGCATGCACACGACTCACTAGATACTATGTAAGATACTAATCAGTTAGATATGTAATGAAGTTAAAAGTAAATTGAAGTTGTAGTCATTAAATTAAAGTGAGGAATGAACCGTTATTTGAGTGCTATATTTACATATAATCATATGAAAATTATATGTTTGTTCAGGGGGTGTACGCCCAGGCGACTGACGTTGCCCATATGTGAACATAACATAAACAAGTTAGGCAAGATTGATATATCGCTTTTTCGTAGATATTTTCTACAGAATAGACTGTTTTTTATGTTCGGAGGAATTTACGACACGACATCGTTCGCCCGGCTGGCAGTATTATTAGACTTCCTAAATATGTCGTATATACTGATTTGGCCCAGGCAATTTCACTAGCCATACATGACGAGTTAAGCAAAAGGTCAGAGATGTATTTTACATATAAACACCTCTTGGTCATAATAGAAATTGTTTATATATTTGTATGTATGTATGTATTTAATAAAGTTCTATCACTATTGTGTTAATTCTTAACTTACTATGTTTATGCTAGTGCACTAAGTTGTACATGATATGTTAGTTCTGTACGTAGACGCGGGTATTACATTTCCACTTCCCATTAGCCCTTTCGTTGCAGTCATCGACGTGTCGCCATCATATTTTTGTCTACTTTGTCTGCAGTCTCTTTACCTTTATCAGTTTCAGCTTGTTTCCAAATTTCTTGTTCTCGGCTTGCTTGATATTTTAATATATCATCAATTCAGATCCAGATATTCATTGTGGTATCCAACCGATGATTTGTTTTACCTCATGATCGTGTCATCATCCTCAGCAAATAAAAATCTCATCACCTTTTTTTTTTTGGCTTACTTTCTCTCAATTAATATCTGAGAAGCCACTCCTGTTCACGCTTGATAACCAAATAATATTTGTCAGCGAGATCTGAGAGTGATAACACTGAATCTTCCAACCCGTTTTGTTCTTAATAGAAGCAAAACAAACCAAAAAAAACTGTAATATTGGATTTTGGAGATTGGCGGGAGGACGCAAATCAGTATACAAAAATCATTGACTACGATTGTCTGAATAGCACCAAGTGTGTGAGTTATACGAAGTACCCAGTCTATATGAGCCATCAAAGTGAATTTAGGTCACTATGTATTGGAAATATAATTGTAATTAAATATTTAAATACAGATGAAAATAAAAATTTGTTTCATTTAATCTTGATATTATAGGCCGATCAAAGGCTGGATCTCTCTACTGATTGCATGATTTACTCAACTACAATTAACTCAGAATCTCTTGTATTTTGAAAACCTTTAAAAACGGTTGCCTTACATATCATGCGACCCCTACTTACACTCGTTGAGCAACGGCGTATGTGATATATGTTGTCGTATTCGTTATGGAATAAATTGTCACATGTTGGGTTGTGAAAGAAATGTTAGGTATAGTGGATGCGAGGGACATGGTTGGGTATAGTAGAGGTGAACGACAATGTTGGGCATAGTGTTTAAAAGGTGCAAATCAATATTCAATCTGTAATTTCAAATACAACCACAGGTCGGTACATATTATTGTAAATAAAAATTACAGAACTGTCAAGGTGTCACAAATGAAAGTGTCCCTCACTGAACAGCGTAGAAAACGTGTGAAAATATGTACTGAAAATATACATACAGAATACATATATATAAGACATCAGTAGAGAGCGGAATAAGTATCTTTTTATATCATTCAAGATGGTCTAACACATAGCGAATGTAAAACTTAGCCATTAGGGTTGGGCATAGCGATTGCAAAAACAGTTTAGTAGGCCCTACTGGTAGGGCAAAGTGGCATATTTTCATAACGTGGCGGTGAAAATAAATGTTGGCCATACTGTCATAAATATCAGACGCTGTCTTTTTGAAAAAAGGAGTCCTCAAAAAAAGTGAAAACAGTCCGCAACTCCGTAAATATTGTAGTACTGGACTAGGCTCATGTCCTATCGCTCCACTGATTGACCCGGACCCCGGACCTGAAAGTCGGGATGATTGACACACGCTACATGGTCATATTGCCGAGTGAGGTCTTTAACATTAGGAATAAGGATGGGAAGGTAGTCTTAGAGATCTGTCTCTTGTAATCACTAGCCTTACGTTAGGGAATCTGAGACAGTCCTTATATTGGTAACTACTAAAATGGTTAGTACAAACCTAGTTACTATAGCCTCGTACTACAGTATAACAAAGATAACCTTACGGTAGAATAGGATAGAAGTAAATTTTATTTAGTTGATTTCACTAGGGATTCAATATTTGAGATATTGACAAAGCGATTGGTTAAAGATGTTGGCAAAGCGATTGGTCAAGATGGAACAGTTTCCGCCGCCATGGAAGTTCGAAGGAAAGAAGTTGTTTGTACTGGCTTGGTTCGACAAGTGGCACAATTTCTTCAACTCGCCGGCGTATCGTATACGGGCTTCGCAGAAAGATGAGGATCAGTATACGGTATCCGGGTATGCATCACAGGTGTATCTGAAGCAGTTTACATCAGTGACAGGATTGTGTTGGATATACAGCGCGGATTACCTCAACTACGGCGTTGGAAGTGGAACGGTTTCTCAATACGGTATTCGTAATCCATCGTTATATGTGTATAATCATGATGCTATTGTGTTGGCGTCACGCTTGCAGGAAGTTTATGATTGCATGAGAACTTTTATCACGACTTTTTATGGTGGTTTGAACGGTGAATTATTACTAGATGACCTAGACAAAAATGATTTGCCGTCAGCCGCTGTAGTTTCAACCACCATGTTGACGGCGAATCCCGGGCTTAAACACCCGTATGCACCAATGGGAGAAGACTCGCGATATGGAGGGAACTTCTATTATACAGGAGGAAAATCTGTATCAGGAGGAAACTCTGACACTCGCGGAGGGAAATCTGGTGCACCGGTGACAGGTGCGGCTCGATATTAGAATGGTTATAAAGGTTGCTGTACTACTCTACCCAGAGAGAATATCAGGAGTTCTTACAAACCGAATCGAGCATATCGACCACTTTCGGAAAAGACACCGTCACCAGCGCCAGCAGAGTGCAGTCAGTGTCAGTTGCGTCACTGCAGTCCTAATTGCCCTTCTTGTAGTATTTGCAATAAGACGGGTCACTGGCGGTCTGTGGTCGGAATACACCCAGACGGGGTTATTAGTGTTCAACCAGACAGGGTTGTTAGTGTTATTTTAGTTTGGGTTATTTTAGTTTATAATATCAGAATCTGTAAACTTAGTTTGTACCGATCAGGGTTTTAGATCGGCACATGTCTCAGAAATAATTAGATTCTGAATTTAAGGTTTAATGAATAAAAGAACAACGTCTCCCTCTGAACAAAGGGAGAACGTTGAGATATTGTTATTCCACGTTTAACTACATTTTTAACAAACTAATGAAGTTGTTCTTTTATTCATCTATCTAACAAACAAACTAAATCACAGCTCAGAAATAATTTTTCATATCAAGAGCAGAGAATAATATGGAGGAAACAACAAAGAATCAGGAAGAGGGAGACGAGTAACTCAGAATAGGGAATGGAACCAGACGGATAGTGGTTACGTTAGTAGTGATACAAGTGATTCAATGCCAAAATTGTGGGAGAATAATAGTAGTGATTCAGACACTAGCTTACAAATACATAATACAGAGCAGCGCACAATCCGAAGGGCCATACAAGACAACGTAGACAATTGACATTTATTGATCACATTCATGGGGAAGAAGTGGAGTCTAGTGAATATGTAGCGAGTGCCGGGTTATCTCGAAATTCGTCTTCAGAGCGTTTCAGCGTGTCATCTGCCGACGATCATCCAGCAGGGGAGGATAGCGTGAATAGTGACAACAACCCACGCCTACCACCAGTGAAGTGTAAACGCCAACGACATCGTCATTATAGACGAGGAGAAGGGCGTGATCAGGTTTCACCACAACAGCTGGCTGAACTCATGGCCAAACAGCAATCACTGTTCGACAAGTATGAAGAACGTTTGCAGCGTATTATACCCGAGCAGTTCAATCGGACCCAAGGGGAGACCGAATCGTCTCAGCGTCATCATTCGTCCAATAGTGCTGACAACCCAGAATTTCGTATCCGAAGTCTCGGACAACATCATGGTCTGGGTTACGAGTCTCCAGAGTCGGATGTTCCAGCAACACTGAGTGATACACCATCTATCCAGGAATTCGCACACGAACAACTACTTGCTAAGCAGAACCCACACGGGGCAGCAGCTTTGAAGAACGTCCACGACCGGTTGAGCACCAACTTTCTTAAGCAACAGCAGAAGAAGGTCTTCGAGCAGGGAGCCTCACGGGAAACGGTGTGTACGCCAGAGAAGGACTCATCACAGTTACCATCACCCCCACCGACACCGGCAAGAGTTGAAGCCAGCCGTCAGGTACTTCACGCACGCATACTTAAGTTATCGGATGAACTGTGCCAGGCGATAGAAGCCGACAATACAGCTCGTGTCGACGCCCTTCGGGGGGTGTTGGAGACACTGCGTGCGACATTAGAATCTAAACCAGTTGACAAACGCAAGGCCCCGGCACCACGCAATTGGCTTGACTGGCCTTCTAATCGCTACCATTTGAATGATGTCATGGAGCGGGACACTAAGGGAGCCCTCTTCGAAGCGTTGAAGAACGCACATATCGCAGGCCTTCATGAAACATGGAGTCTAACATGGTTCTATAAGGTGTTGACACTCGAATATATTAGAGACAACACGGAGCAGTTGAAGGCGTGGACACCTGAGTTACAGATTGCACAGATATGCTCACATGAGACACAAGCGACCGTAGATCCGGCTTTCCGCAAGCTAGCTAAAGGTCACAGTAAACTAGCGCACGTACCAGTCATGGCACAGATGACCCGGTTGATGGAAAATCGCCATCGAGCGCGTGAGCATTGTCAGACGGACGCTGACTTCCAGCAAAGTCTACTGAATCACTGCGTGGTACAGCTGTTGGAGGAAACGATCAATGCTCGCACATATGAGCGCACACTCCAACTACACCCCAAATGGCATTTGATGGCGACCCATGAATTGCTACAGCTGTTGAGCCCGGACATACAGGAGACACAACAACGATCGACAGCTCGTTCCCTCGGTCGACAACAACATCACACAGGTAATACAACACGGGACTACACCAACAGTCGTCCGAACCCACAGACAACGCAACGACAGAATCAGAACTGGGCGCAGCGTCCTCAAGCCGCGGTACCTACAACGTGTGTAGGTTGTCAGACACAAGCACCACCATCATAGAACAACGCAACAAGGGGAGACGGACCACCGCGCACGCCAGAACGAACAAGGTCGTCCTTTCCGCCCTACAACAACAGTTCCGCCAGGACAAGGACAAGGTGGCAACTCGACCAGACAGCCACCGGTGCACACACCTACTACCCAACCACAGGTGAACACGATTACACAAGAAGCAGGAATCGATCCACCTCCCGTGGCCACCGAGATGCACATAGACGCCATACTCACCGCAGACTACCATGACGAGGAACACCCAGCAAGAAACACGATACAGCAGAGCTGGGATCCAATGACAGGCGATAGTTGAGAGGTGAGGGTGTCTGATGCGGAGATAGTATTAACGTTGGTACACACTATTAATGACGTGATGGCGATTAAAGACCCATTACTATCATCCGATAACCGCGTCTACATCCAACTGCAACTGAACGGACGCACGTTCAGAGCGTTAATAGACACGGGTGCAAATAGAAGCTGCATCTCTCAGACATCCGCAAACTTACTGGGCCGTCCAATTACTCCAGCACCACCTGGGTCGTTCATATATTTAGCTGACAAGGCAGTCCGAACTCCGCGTCTGGGGACGACGGAAGTAATACCGATACGGTATGGTACCAACATTATCCAGGGTTCGTTCGAACTAATGAACCTACCTACGGGCATGGACATTATCATAGGACAGGATATGAGGAAGGACCTAGGGTTGTATATAGGCGGTATTCAATCACCTCTTGCTCCTATCGACCCCACGGAGCTTGATGAATTGCTGAAGCCAATACCACGGCGGCAATCACCGAATACAGCGGAGCCGGTGGATGCTCGACAACGGTTGAATACGGAGTTAAAGGCGAACGCGGCGATTCCAGACAACGCACGATGTCGCCTCGAGGGGAGTGAGGTCATGATACCAGTTACGCGAGAACAAGCCATGAGTATGCGCAGATCCACACGTAATTTCGTATCAGATCGATGGCTACTTTATACCGATGAGCAAGTACAGAAGTGGTTGAAAGACTTGGTCATTACTAAACGAACTACACCAACAACAGTTAATCTATCACTGCTGGCCGTACCTACGTTTGATAGTGAAGGCAACGATAAGAAGGTGCGGGTGTGTTTAGACATGCGTGCGGTAGATGCACTCATTCCCGGTGACCAATTCTTGATTCCGAAAGTTAACGAACTCATTTCCCGACTGAAGAGCAAGATGTACTACACAACGCTGGACATCTCGGCGGCCTACCACAGACTACTGATACATCCAGATTCACGGTATCGGTTCAGCTTCACACATGAACGCTACCAGTATTCGTAACGTCGGCACCATTCGGCCTACATGTACTGACGCAGCAGTTCCAGCGTACATTGAGCACAATCCTGGACGGACTACCAGTACATCACTACATCGATGATATAGTGATTGCCAGTGATGATTACGATGAACACATCCGTATAGTAAAGGAAGTCATCAAGCGTCTTACATACCATAGTTTTAAGCTGAACCCATCCAAGTGCCACTTCGCAATTGGGGAGGTAATGATACTGGGCAAGAAAGTATCAGCACAAGGTATCGATGTGGATCATGAGAAACAGGCAAAGCTGCTAGATTGGCCAACCCCACAGCGATACAAGGACATAACGTCAGTGTTAGGCTTAGCGAACTATCTTCACGAGCACCTCTCCAACTTTGCCCATATCGTAGCACCGCTACGGGAGTTCTGCAAACTCAAACCGAATGAGTTAATTGGTGAACGGTGGAAACAACGATATACCGACGCGTGGCAGGCAATGAAGGAGGCGGTGGTAAATGCAGTAGCATTACATTTTCCGGTAGAAGGGGTACCACTGAATTTGTAGACCGACGCCAGTGACTACGGTATAGGCGGAGCATTGTTCCAATGGGTCGACAGCAAGAAACACTACCTGATGTTCTTTCCGAATAATGTAGATGTGTTTGCGTACCCACAGAACGCACAATTGCCTGATGACAATGAAGGGGCGTTTAAGCACGACTGGTCGTTAGTGGATGGATGGATGAATCCACCTTGAAAATTGATACACAAGATGCTTAGGAAAATCAAGACAGAGGGAGCATCCGCCACAGTATGTCTACCTTGGGTACCACGGGCACCATGGTTCGACTTATTCAAGCAGCTGCTCCAAGCTGAACCAGTACTGGTGCCTAGAACACCACATACCTCTCTGAAGTTTGGCAAGTATGCGTGCGGCAAGACACCTTGGGGTCATACAGTGATAGCGAGACTAGGTCCATCCAATAACTTCAAGCTGGACCCTCTTTTCTCACAGTGACTGGGTTACGCAGAACCACGCTATATACCGTCTGCAAAATGTTTGGACACAGCACGAGAGATATCGGTCGCCATGGCTGAAGCCGAAGGTCAACCTGCATTTGCACAAGCAACGCCGGAAGAACAGCTTCGGCGTACACAACTGACACGAGCACAGCACGAGCAAGGCCATCACGGGGCAGCCGATACTGTACAACAGCTCCGCAACGATGGACATGTGTGGCCGGGCGCTCTAGAACTGACGACAACGGTTAAGCGACAGTGTAGTACATGTTTAGGTCAGGACACACTACGTAAAGGTTTCCACCCGATGATCAGCATCGACGCACGCTACCCTTGGGATCACATTCAGATGGACTACATTCCTATGCCGATCGAATCGCGGAGGAAGAACAAGTACATTCTCCATGTGTTAGACATTGCCACTGGCTATTCGATTCTACGTGCAACTCCGAACAAGGCAAAGGAGACCACGGTACAGACAATGTTAGAGATTTTCGGTGAACACGGTTTCCCACGACGACTACAAACCGACATGGGACCAGAGTTTACAAACAAAATAGTGAACACCCTGGTGCAGGAAGTGGGCATGCTACACAGGGTATCACCCGCATATCGCCCACAAGTCTTAGGGGCAGCCGAGCGTCGCCATAAAGATATTACACGATCAATACGGCAATGTTGTGAGGCGGTGCCACTTCAATGGGATGAACGCCTTCCGTTCACTATGCTCTATCCGAACCTCCGTATCTCTCGCAGACATAAGAGTTCACCTTTTAGCGTGTACTTCGGACGCAGGCATGTCCCGTTTGCCGACTTTGCTGATGTGGTACCGGAATCACAACCAGTGACCAACGATACATGGGCGCAACGATTAGATGAGATGCAAGATACCATCTTACCAACCCTTCACCATATCAGACTTTTGACCGTCTCCATGCCCACGACTTGGTACACTTCGATGAAAGCGACGTAGTGATGGTGCGCTCGGAAGGCAGAACGACGAAAGCAATGCGTCCTCTCTTTGGGCCGTATGTGATCAAGACTAGAATCGGGCAACGTTACGAGTTAGCGAACAAAGACGGGTCCGCACCATCAGAATTCAAGGGCAAGCCAGTCCGTGTTGAACTCCTCCGGTTAGTACATCGTAGTACAGACCCACCACTTGATGATACCTTGTGGGCAGAAGGCGGAGTTGAGTTCCGCCACATTGTTAAGCATCGTACGAACGATGAGACAGGCAACCTTGAATACCTGGTGCGTTGGCGCGAGGGTGACCCCACGTGGGAGACAGCCGAAGCCTTTACCGACCCCAACGACATTGTCGCTTACCACAAAGACTCGCAGACGCGTACGCGCAAACGACGCCGCGACCAGATTTAGACTCTTACCTGTATATAGTTACTTATATGTCATGAACGACGGTGCGCTCGAGACGTATACTTCGGGCCCTCTAGCTCTCTGAGGATAAATGCCAGCACACTGCTTTAGCTCTCTGAGGATAAATACCAGCATGTCGGTCAGGGTTTGAGTATTCCTTTCCTTTTCTCTAAAGCTGACACACTGGTAGGTAGTGCTTCAGCTTGGGGGGAGGGTTGTGGTCGGAATACACCCAGACGGGGTTATTAGTGTTCAACCAGACAGGGTTATTAGTGTTATTTTAGTTTGGGTTATTTTAGTTTATAATATCAGAATCTGTAAACTTAGTTTGTACCGATCAGGGTTTTAGATCGGCACATGTCTCAGAAATAATTAGATTCTGAATTTAAGGTTTAATGAATAAAAGAACAACGTCTCCTTCTGAACAAAGGGAGAACGTTGAGGTATTGTTATTCCACGTTTAACTACAGGTCACACGTATTGTCCATCTAATGCCACTGTTGCCGCGGTCAAGCACAAAGAATGACGTGATAGTAGTGAATGGGATGGGCCCGCAACACATGCGTATGGTGAATATTTGTCTATCAGTATATGTAATGATACTGGTGCGATACCGGTGGTAATGTATCAGGTGTTTGTGGATCATCACAATTTTCCAATCATTGCTATTGCACCTGTTTATATTACGGGATATGGGGGTGATGAGATCACGTCTTTGACTCAGATAATGGTGGTGTCGTTGTTGTTGGAAGTGCTGGACTCGAATGGTAGTAATACATATTTTGAACAGAGTGAGATCACGGTGTTGTTAGATCCATGGGTTCCTCAGGATTATAATGTACTCTTGGTTCTGGACGTAATAGAAAGGGAGCTGCTGGGCACTACGTGAGACACTTCTACGATCCCAGCAACGTTCTGCTTGCAGCTGCCCCGAGTATCGACCTCTATTTCTTGCAATATCGACCGCCGGAAGTTGTGTATAAGTTGGAGGCGGTTCGTAGAAACAAATATGTCCCAGATATACATGATGATCTTGATGATGATAACTTCGTGGGGTCTGTGTACCATGCCCGTATATGAAATTTCGCGCAGCAACTGTTACAGGATCAATAAGAGGCTGCTAAGTTTATAAAAGGGGTGGAAAACAGTATTTTGTTGAAGCTGATGTTATGCTTCAACGTCAAGTGTATGCTACCAAGGACCCGGTGAAACAAGGTGTGCAAACTCGTAAATGCGATATTTTGCACTCAGTAGGGTCGCTTGAACCTGGAATATGTATAGTATGTGAGTTGTTTCGCGTCTATTTGCGCGTAAGAACCCACAGATAGTCCCTGTGGAGGATAAGGGATATCACACTTGCATTGACTGGAGCCCGCAGAATCGAGAGTTTCATAATTTGCCGCTGACACTTCTGTTGGAGGTAGATTTACCTAGTCATACCAGAAGAACAGTCATACAAACGGTAGTTGACCTTGCGGCGGCCTACCACCAACTAAACCTTCCGGAAGACTCTCGAGAGTACTTGACATTCTTCACAGCTGATGGGTGCTATTGGCAATTGGTATGTCTTATGGAAGGGGTTCAGAGTGGCTGCTATGACATGCAGCACTTAACTCAGCCGTTGTTTCAACCTGTACGTACATTAGTGACATACATGGGTGATTCATGGTACAGCATCTTATTGTAAACCAAACATACATACAATCACTTTGCAGTCACTGGTGGGAACAACACAAGACTTTATATATTTGTGAAGCCAATAGTGTTATGTTGCAGCCACACAAATTTCAGATATCAGTATTGCCCTCGGAAGTAATGCACGTGTTTGATCAACCGTGTTAGAGCATGGTAGTATTGATTGAGGATGAACGGTGACAACGGTGACAAGCTTTTCTTACTGCACCGGCACCGGTTTCGAAACCGGAGCTAGCATCATTACTTGTTATGTTTGCATGGTGGTCGGGAATGATCACCAATTGTGCAATAATCATGAAACCTATAATCCGACTTACTCAAATGAATGAGATATTTCAGTGGAGTACTGTGTAACAGGTGGCGATGAACACGGCGTATTTTCACTTGAAGATGCGTATTCGTTTACACGTTTCTAAGCAGGACGAATAACTTGTTATGCGTTCGGATGCGGCTAAGTTGATATGTCGAGCATGCTCATTTGCCCGCATACCAGGTGGCATTACGCGACATGTTGTTAAAGAGTTATCGGATGCAGAGACCCTCCGTTTGGGCCTTGCTGACATGACTATTGGAGACCTTAATCAACCGGATGTCATTTCGGGGATTGAGGCAATGTAGATTCAATATTCGAGTGAGGCAATTGCCCCGGCATATTTGCTGAATGACGGTACGCCATCGGCGCGCTATCAAAAGGTTCAGGTGGGTGATTTTTCTCGGATAAAGGAGTTGGTCCGTATCAAACAATGAGACGCGTCTGTTGGCTATGCGGTCATAAGCAGGTGGTGTTGTATTTTGGGATAACAGATCGTGTTAATGGGATTCAGAGAAATTAGTTTGTTGGTTGCGTATTCGCTACAAAGAGAGCGCTGCACATTTTATAGCGCTTCAAGCTGCCGTGTGTTATGTTAACGGACCATGAGCCTTTATGAGGTATTGTCAAGAACCCGTCTAAGTATACACTAGATGATACAATCTAAAACAATGCAATGTACTCCAAGGAGTAGAATAGGATCTTCAGTATTGTCTTGGAAAAGTCAACCATTTCGGAGACTACTTGTCCCGATGTGCGGACCAGATGAGCTCATGGAGCCCATTGACAGGCGAGTACAATGGGCAGTCATACTGTAAGTTATGTCGTAGCCTTGTTGTGTTGTGCATTACAACGGTTTGATACCAGTAATTGGCAGCTAAATTGGCGATGTGTATTTCGTTCACAAAAGTATTTATTTAAGTTAATTTTTGATGTTGAACTATTCGCATCATTTGTGGATCATGTTTTGGCCATCTATGCCAGTCTCGAACCAGGAGATGGCACTATAGGGTTGAGGCGTTTACAGCTGTAAAATGTAGGCTTATAGGTTATGCGAATTCACCTTGGCTAGACATCTAGAGTTTGTCAGACATGCCGACCAATATGAGGGGTCGTCGGTAGTATTGGGTGTCCTATTGTGGCCCAATGAGGTTTCGATGCGCCAGCTAGTCCCAATGTTACAAGCCAGGTCATTTGTAGTTCCGCATACAGTGGATACAAATTTTGCTGGATGGTAAGCATGCGGTTAGTATGTCGCCTTGGGACTACGCTTTATTTCTACATATCAAAGGGGGTAAGCAGCCGTACAATTACCAGATTTTGGACAGTTTTTGGCCTGATCTTTGCGCCAAGTCACTTCAACCAAATGTACCAGTTGCAGTCCAAGTTCAGAACAAATGCAATTTTCTTTGTTTACCTGGAACCGTCACTACTCAACAGGCCAACAGCCCACGCTACAGCGTCATACCATGCGTACTCAACCACAAACTTGGGACGACAGCGAAATATTCTCATACACTTTAACTAAGCAGTCAATGGACAACATGTTCCAGCTTGCGCCAGGCTATGGATGAAGATTACTTTATCCCGACAATATACACCCTCCGGTGACCCCGTGATCATACCTAAATAAATCCTTTCTTTCCAAAAAGGAAAACGACTTCCAGCCAATTATAGAGCACTATGGCACCACTATTACTCCCACTATGACCACGAACTCTCTTAGAGTCATGTCTTTCCGTTCGCCATCGAATTTTGCTTACCCCTATGTCAAAGGATGACCGATTTTCACGCCGAATGCTGACCTATCAGCACTCGCCATGACAATGGGTGTGAGCCGGGATGTAGATCTATAGATACGAACACACATGAGTGTTTCTCCGATCCATGCAATGATTGCGATCGATCAACACACATGCACGAGCGTATGTACGATCTCAACGCCGAATGTCGTCCTATCGATCCTTGCTATGATCACGATTGAGCGTTGCCGGATAAGTGGAAAATTGAAATGGACTACAGCAGGTGCCGCAGAGGTGCGATTTCGTGACCACACCTACACTCGCACAAGACCAAACTTCCTAATTACAACATATTTTGCTACCAAGTTCCCAGACACATGCATGGGGTATTGCAGCCCAACCGAACTGGGATAATATCATATCCGTGCAGGGTGTTGACGAGGTGTTACCAGCGGACAATGAGACTTAAAAAGTAGACATTTTCTTTCTCGAGAAAATGGCTAATGGGTAGCCTTACGGTCACGATATTGTATTCGAGGGCATGTACAATCTTGACGATCGAAGACAAAGATTGGTTCGTGGCGGTAGATCTTTCCAATATGAAATCTGGTAATAAGACGCGAAAACGAATAATAATAAATATAAATTTACCGACGAATGAAAGAGTGCATAACACTGCCTATAGATAACTAGAAACAGTAGGTGTCACAATGATGTGCGCCGCTGATAGCAGCAGCATAATGCAAACAAAAGCTATTTATAGCGGTATACGATGATCACGGTATTTCTAGATATTGGGGCGAGTTCTGTTTCTCACTTTTCGAAAACCGATATACATCTCATGTGACATGCAATGGTGATATTAAGAAAACTATACATAGTTCTCCATCACAGCATATATCTTCTTTATCCATCAGAATACTTAATTGACTACCAGTCGTGCCAGTCCTTCACACAGTGATGACTGTGCCGTGTTCAGAATTACCGTCGAGTGCTTCAAGTAGATGTTCGGGATCAGTAATATAACACTTCCTCTCTCTGCCACCTTTATTCGTCTGTTCCAAGAATCCGAGAGCAGCCGCGACTTTAGGACCCATGGATCCAGCCGGAAAATGGCCGTCCTTCATGTGCTGTTGCGCTTGCTGCACGTTCATGGCCGTCAGAGTGCGCTGTGACGGTGTGTTGAAGTCCACATAAACATTGGCCACACCAGTACAGAAGACTACCGCATCGAACTGCATGTGGTCGGCTAGCAACGCGCTGGCACTATCTTTGTCGATGACTGCGGCAACTCCCTTTAGATCGCCTGTGTCTGTGTCACGCACCACTGGGATACCCCCACCCCCCACGCAGATCACAATACCACCCTTCTCCATTAAGCTTTCTATTGCCCACTGTAGTTTTGATTGGAATACAGATCAGTCATGCGAGGTCAAAATAAACTACAGATAAACCTATGTGGATCGCAGTATTTGAAACCGATTCCAAGAGTATCGAAACACCTGCGAGTGTTATGTGCTTGAAGAATTTGCGTAATAAGGCGAGTGTGCATACCTGTTCAATAATTTCCTTGGGTTCGGGACTAGCCACAACTCTGCGCCATCCCCTGTGAATACAATTTTTAAATTTTTAACAAGGGTAATCAATGATGGACGTTTGTGTGACTGGTGACGACTGCATGTCTTATGCCAATCCGAGCAGTAAGCAAAATTAAAAGCATAGAGCAACATATTATGGGCTTGGTGCTGTTCTGTTTCTTTTTTCCATTTCGTAATATGTTTCTTTCGGGATAAATTCGCCAGTATCAAAGTGTAGCTCTACCTCAATTTCAACATGCATGGCGATGACAACGTAGTCTAAATAATGTACGTATTCGTGATCACATAGTTGTGTCAATTTGTACACAAATGTCCCATGGAGAACAATCTATTGTTATATACACTCACTCACTCTAAATAGTGCAGTCCTCTCAATTGGATGATAGCAAATCAAATCGTGGCTATACCAGTACATAACTACCTGATACGATACGCGTTTCGCATTCTCGCGTGAAATCTACAGCATGATCCTCATGTTTATTGATTAAATCAACATTTACGTACCTGCCCTGCTGCTCGATCATATCCCACTGATCCGTCTCCATCTTCGCTTTGGCTTCTTGTTCACTGAAAAATCCGCCCACCGGCTTGGTGGGGGTTTGGAAGGCCTACAAATTACAGTCAATCACGTGCGAAGTGGAAAACAGAATAAGTGTACAGGCATTCCATATAACATTTAAAAAAAAAGTATATAGAACTACAGTCGAGGTGACGAGTGGCCAAATAATTAGGAGTACAAACAAACACATCAGTATTGCTTAAAATAAAACGTTCTATTGGTTGGCCTTTTAGACTGAGTAAATGATACAGTCTATGCTCAGCTATACGAATCGTCCTTACGTACACCCTCAGCGTTTATCCTTCTCACGTATATTTACAACAGATATTGTAGCCGACCTTAGCATTGAAACACTGTGGCCAAAGTTATGGATAATTCATTCACTGACAATATATCTACCCATTTACTTTTTTTTGCAAGATTCAAAACCCTTCGGCTCTCCCGTCCACAAACGATGATAAAAATGAAACGCGCCCGCTTCACGATACACACGTCAGAATCAATGTCACAGTGCTACAAATGTTGTACATACCTTATCGTCGGCTTCTACGCGCACCTGGTTGACGACAGCACACACTCGAGGATCACGCTGGCCCTGAGATACTAGAGCGTTGCGTATCGCTTGGGTCAGTTGGTACCCAATCTGTCCCTCGGTTTGCGCATCGATGATCTCCAGTGGCAACGCAGGCACGTGGTGGGCTGCACCGTACTCACTGCGCTGCATAGAGAACCCTACCTGACATTATGAGTGAGAGGAATTGGATAAGTACAACAGATGCACAGACAGTCAGGACCTTAGGAGCTGGCGATAGACTTCGGAGAATGTTAAGTACCCCATTCAGAAAATGATACAGGGCCCACTTACATAGAATCAGATATAACGATCTGCTTTTCATAGCAACACATACATGAGTCATTTAAAAAAAACAAAACAAAAAACAAAACAAAAAAAAGCGATTTGCAAATGGTTGCCTGGCAATACGCATATGTTCGCACACTGAGATAGCCGCCGAAATCGACCATTTTCGTCTTTGAAATCTAGAATTCATATAAACTAACTAAAACACAGTATCTGTACAATCCACAGCCGAACCAACTATCACCTGTATCCTAAAGTGCAGTTGGCGACAAAGAAATGTACCATGTAGAGCTTTTGCCCACCCCTTAGCGATAATACACCGTCGAGGGTACAGCACGAGGCCTATCTAACTACGCAGATCTCATCACTGTGAAAGGTTCATGCAAGGATGCCATGAGCTTTCACTGCAGTCAAAGATATGTAAGTGAGATGCATCCGACGAGACAGCTGCTCAAATTTACACAGACGAACAGATTCAAATGCGCATATGCTCGAAGAAATCTTAACAATGCTACAATGAGCACATTTCGACGCATGAGATTTAAAGTTGTAACCTAATCATCTATCACGGTCCTAGTTCTTACCAGGGCTGTGACTGTATACAAGCACATACAATGATACGTAAACATACTAAATCTATACAGACACAAACAGAAATTGATAGGACTTTTGGACAAGCACATTGCGTTAATATGATATTTTCGTGTAAATATGAATATATATATGTACAAATAAGTATATCTATATATATATATATATTAATATAGTAATATAATAATATAATAATTAATATATATATATATATATAAATATATATATATATGAATATATATATATAAATATATACATACATATATATATATCCATATATACGCTCCCACCCACACAGATATAAACACAAGTCCAAACACACAAATTCATATGTACAAACGGACATATAGATATTCATATAAATATGTAAACACTTATAA